GTCACTCGTCCATCTATTGGAAGATCACCAAAACTGATTACAATGGCGGAAATTACGAAACGTTTCATCAAAGTTCCTCCAGAAGATGCTAAGAAATTATGGGAAGATCAATATGCAGGTGACTTAATTCACCTCGTTATAGATTCACTTGTTGTTAGTTTCATCGTCCTCCATCAAATTTTGGGTTTTTGTTATCCTTTTTTTGGCTTCATCGAAGAGTTTGTTTTGAGGGGCTGTCGATAACTGCCATCACACTTATGTTCATGGAAAATGTAAAAGCGAGGCCATGGGCGTATACTGCGAAGTTGGACGACGAACGCGCACCTATTTTGTTCTCTCGGGTTCAGTACTATCCGTATGGCCCGTTGTCGAAGAAGTGCTTTCGGATCGTGATCGACGTGCTTCTCGAATGCAAGTGATTCGAGTACGGACTGATCAGGATCAAAAGATTGTCGGTGCGTTTTTTGTTGGTTATCTGGTTCTTTTTGAACAAGTTCTCATAGCACTAGTATTTCATATTAAGTTCCATCGTTGTGTTAACTCTGTTCTTACGGTGTATCTGAATTAATTTCAAATCTCGTACTAGAATGCTCTCTTTTAGGAGTGCTAGTTCTTCCGCACTTCGTTCGCACCCTAGTGGCTCGTCTCGAAGAACACTGTTCTCGTTGCTTTGTTGAGGCGAAAAAAGAAGAAAATGGTCAAAAACCTAAGTAATCAAAAGGCTTGATTCTATGCTAAAACTGTGGTGCTCCTAATCAATCTTACACATTTGTATATTTTATGCAACTATTGTATGTTTTATTGTGAAAAGAAGCTTTATTTGAAGAAAAATATTTGAAAAACTGTTCACGTTTTATTTCAAAAGTTATTGGGACGTTTTAGTTTTTGAATTATATGCTTAGGAATTAATGTTTATTTTTTTCTCCTTATTTCTCCTTCGAGCTTATATCCACAAACGTTTCCTGGTATGTGCTCATTGTGTTGTTATCATTGTTACGATTCCAATGGTTGTTAGCCCTGTTGCTGTTTTTCTAGAAAGTTTCAAAAAGTGTTGGGTTGCTTGAGAATCAACACACTTTATTTTAAAATGGTGCATATCGTGTTGGCTCAATCGCTCAACCCCATGTTTGTGTTCATCATTGGTCCACTTGACTTCTTCATTCTTATGTTTCTTAGCCAGTGATGCTGTAAACTTTTGTTGTTAGCCGTCTATTTCTGGCTTGTTTTTTTTTTTGCACGGTCCCTGCTCTCCATCAGTCACGGACTTCGGTTAATCTTTTGCATTGGGTCGCAGTCGTTGTATGTTTCAAAAAGTGTGAGAAATATAGACTTTATCTGTTGTATTCTTCCTACTCTATATGTACATGAAAAAGTTGTTTAAAATAGGGTGATTTGATGAGATTGATGAGAATTTAATCTCTTTTTTTGGCGTTGTTGGTGGAATACAAGATAGATTTGGAGATGATAGCAGATGCTATACGAAAAATGGA